GATTGATGTAGTTGCTCATATGTATGCTCCCGAATCGGCATCAACTAGAATTAACAGTATAATGCTTCCAATGATTAGGGATAATATATGAAAACCAAAGAGCAACACAACTGATTTTGCTTCAAGGGAACGAATCGTATGGGAACGAACAAATCGCAAAGACTATCTGATGAAGCCAAAATTCTCAATTCCAGAATCAATAGTGAAAAAAGAACAAGAAATACAATTAAAATAACAGGAGATTTCAGATCTACTAATAGAGAGAATGAAAATTTTCAGGATGATTTTTTAAAAAGCTAATCAGTGAACTAAGTTTCGATTGCTGCTGCTAAAACCCTAGAAATCAGACTATTGAATTGGAAGAGAAAAGGATTTCTTTAATTTATAAGTAGGGGTTTTGACGAATTGACGGTGCTTTTGAGGAAACCCTAAAAGGCTTTTTCAGTAAGCCCATTAAGTGTATTTGTTATCAAGCCCAATAAGGTTAAATTATGAACCGGAGATTTTTTTTTTTCCGGCAAATCAAATATATTATAGGGTTAATTAGCTTAATACTGGTTTTGACTACATAATTAGGTAATTAACTTATTCATAATGAAATTTAGGTCTGTAGGAGAGAGAAGAAAACATTGAACGAATATACCCCTGCGAAATTGGAAAAAAAAATCTCTAAATATTTACCATTAATCGGTAAAAATCAATAAAAAAAACTTTAAAAAATTTCTGAAAATATTTTTTTGAAGAAGCGAATCCCTAACAGCCGCAAACCATTTCATCTGCATTAAAAAATCCTCGGTATGTACAGTTGACTATTCAGTTTCTTTTCATGTTGTATAGTTAGCTACAATTATAACCGAGAATAGTGAACTATATCTTTCAGATGTCAAAAGAAACAATGGTTGTTATGATGTTGGGTAAATAGATTGATTTGGAGACATTAGTTAGCTAGCTATTCAAATAATAATATATATTTCATTATGTAAATTGTAGTTAGCATTCAAATAATAATATAGTTCACTATAGAAACATTACAATAATCAAATCATTTGTATATTTTTTTATCTATTTTATCAATATAGTTAGCTATTATCTCATCTATGGTCATTAAAATAGTTCACTATCCAAACGTTAGTTAGCTAGCTAGTCAAATAATAATATAGTGAAATATAGTTTACTATGCAAACGTTAGTTAGCTAGCTATTCAAATAATAATATAGTTCACTATGCAAACATTATTCAAATAATAATATAGTTTACTATGCAAACGTTAGTTAGCTATTCAAATAGTAATATAGTTCACTATATAAATATTATAATAATTAATTTAGTTGTATATCTTCTAGGTTACATTTATCAATATCGCTAATCAATATAGTTAACTATTATCTCACCATTCACCTTTCGTTATTGACTGGTTTGCGAACAAAGCGAAACAAACACTTGGGTAAATTAGGATCTTTCATCTTCAGAGAAAAAGAGAAGTGTGAAGCAAAAAAGAGATGTGAAATCAATAAGAGTATTTCCACTAGACGAAGAGATGCAAACCTAGAAAGGATT